CTCATAACGTTCACTTTAATTTCTTGGAGAAGGTTGTGTCTGCTAGGATTCTCTTCTGTAAAACCACACAGTTGAAACATCCAGTTCAGTGCCTGGCACATAGTAGTAATGTATTTATACTAGGTATTATGGTCATAATGATCATTATTAATACCATTTAGCATGAGCTCTGTTAACCCCAGGAATTACTAAAGGCTGTGTGACTTGGATTTCTTGTGTTTTACATTTCCTAACTTATCCAAGGAAAGGATGGCAAATTAAACAGCACACTTGTAAATTTGCATAAACTCCACCAAATGTGGTGCCTGCTGTACGTGCTGCCTCTTAGAACGTGGTAGAATGGAAAGAAGTGATAAAATATTTAAAGGTTAGACCCTGATTTTCCACCTTAGTGAAGGAGAAATTTCATTTCGTATCCTCTTCACAAATGGTATTCAAGCACAACAAAAACTTAAAAGTAATTGATTTTTCTTTACCTTGGATGTTTAAAAAAAAAAAAAAGAAGAAGAAGTGGTGGTTGTGGGGAGAAAGTCAAGTAAAAAGTAAGCTGTCTCAGGCCAGGGAAAACATAAAGATTTATTAAGGCAACTGTTAGTAAAGAAAGATAATACTTTATACTAAGAACTTCTCTAATAAAATTAGCAGGAATACATATTACTTGGAAATGGACCATTGGGGTCTCGAAGAAATGCACATAAAAGTATAATGCTTTCAATATGGAAATGTGAATGAACCTGAACTTGCTCTCCGGAATTCATGATACATATCCATCACATTGCATGGGACAGAGGGGAAAAAAGCACGGTCCTTGAACCCTGGTGGCCCAGTGGTTAAGCACTTGGCTGCTGACTGAAAAAGTCGATGATTGGAATTCACCATTTGCCTGCATGAGAGAAAGAACTGGTAACCTGTTTCCAGAAAGATGACAGCCTGCGAAGCCCTTTGGGGGCAGTTCTGCTCTGTTGGATTGCTCCGGGGCTGCTATGAGTTGAAATTGACTCAGCAGCATCCAACAACAACAATATAAGGCAGAGAACAGAAGTTTTCTTTGAGAGTCTTCTGGTTAGAGAATCCATCGAGTGACTTTATCGTCAGTCATCCTGTATTCTTTCCACCAGCATGAGGTGTGGTGAAGGCCTGAAACTGAGAGCCACTGGGAGATCACCAATGCAACTAGAAATGTGGGTGCATTAATCTACAAAATGGGTCATCAGCTTCAGTCTAAAGGTATCTGAGAACAGCACACCACTCCATGGTTCTGCCAGAACACATAGCTGGGGAAATGACTGCTAGCTAGTTGAACCCCTGAGTAGCATGGAGTTAATATCATTAACTTGTGTATTTTAACCCCAAACGCAGAGCCGAGAACACTGATGGTGAAATTTAGGCCGGGATAGGAGGTTTGGCACTCTCTCGGGCCTCAATTCTTGGGGTCCTGTGTTTTTGATAGGGTCCTTGAGTGATACAAATAGTTTGTACATGTCTACAAACTAAAGGTTGACAGTTCAAGCCTACCAGGGGCACCACAGAAGTAAGGCCTTGTGATCTGCTGCTGTAAAGATTACAGCAATGAAAACCCTTGGGAGCAGTTCTACTCTGTGACACATGGGCCTGCCATGAACCCAAATCAACTTGATGTACTAGGTTTGGTTTTTTGATTTTGGGTCTTAGATATTTGTTAAACATCTGTGGAATGTGCGCATTCACTATTTTCCCTCCTATTCTCCACTCCTGTCAAATCCTTCCAAACTTGTGAATCCCCAAACTTAACCAAACCTATTGCTGTTGTGTCAATTCCACCTCATGGCAACCCCATAGGACAGAGGAACACTGCCCCCATAGGGTTTCCAGGACTGTAATCTTTAGGAAGCAGACTGCCACATCTTCCTCCCTCGGAGCAGCTGGTAGGTTTGAACCACCAACTTCTCTGTTAGCAGTCAAATGCTTACCCACTACACCACCAAGGGGCCCAAGAACAGACAGTTCTAGGGCCCCTGCACTTCCTTGGACTGTGTTAGAACCCCTTAGAGATCCAGGAACCAGTGAACACTTTTAGCTGTTCTGGATGCCATATTTGTCATGAACCTCCGTGGGGAAGCTCTGGCCCAGAGCAGGCCTGCGTGGATTGTTCTAAAGGCTCAGGACTGCTCAGGGTTTACAAGTCAGAGGGCTTTGGCACCGATGTTAGACTTTCTGAGGCAGAGTGGGGCTTCTGAGTTTTCCCAGGCTGTAGAAGTAGGGGGAAGACGGGCCATTTCTGGGCCAACTGCTGCACAGGTCGCAGGGCGTCTTATCACAGGTCTGCTAAAGACAGCTGCTGTTTAGTAAATACCTTAATGAAGGTTGCTTCTGTACAGCTGAAAAGTAGTGCCGATGGATACACCTGTCAAGGCCTCTGACTTCATCCCTTTAACATTTCTCAACACGTTCTTGTTTGTGTCTCTTCAACTATTGGTCTACCATGTAATGCCATTTGCAATAGGTTAGTCTCTGCCCTTTTCCACTCAGAGTGATTGTCCCATTAATAGAAAGACAGTCTTCGAAATAGCTTAGTAAGAGGCAATCAATTTCATGTCTTTTCTACTGACGTAAACGACTATATTTCTTGCAGGAAACAAATTCACTTAGACGCTCCTGAATTAAAATCAACCTAGTGGGACCTCCAAATTGTAAATGTTACGTTTGACAGATTTTACTTTAAAAATAAAATAGTCAGATGCCAGGTAGGGAAAGGGTGTGAAATGAAACAGGTGGAAAATATGTCATTGTGAGATTTCTCCTCTTCAGTGGTCTGTACGTGACATATGGTGGGTTTTGTAAATGTGAGGTAAACCAGTAACAGATAGAAAAACACTTTAGTGCTAATTAAGTAAGTTGATTACCCAAGTATACACTGAAATATTGCCTTTTGAAAATGGACAGAATATTTTATTTTATTCCTTTGCTTTCTCCCATGACTACAGCAATGCCAGGAGTTGTTTTATTATTATTATCATTTTCTTTTTATTATTTTCTCCATTGCTTAGGCGAATAAGGATCTCTTGTAAAATTCCCTTTTGTAATTTTCAGCGTTTAAGAGAGAGTTCCTAGGTTTGAAGTATCCTCTCCTATTCAGTTTGTGCAAGATTCCTTGCAATTTAAGAACCATATTCATTTTGTATTGATCCATAGTGATGGCTTTATGCTTCCTTGAAGATAGCTTTGTTCCCGTCACTTTTGTTAACAAGTAATTTCCTGCAAGTTGGGGTTTCAGTCACAATGTTGCTGCTTCTGTGTTCTGGTTTGTAACTTTAGACCAGGTTCTCTCTCAAGGGGGAGCTCTGGTGGAATAGTGCCTAAGGCACTTGACGGCTAACCAGGAGGCTGGCGGTTCAAACCCACCAGCCACTCCTCGGGAGGAAGGTTGGGCAATCTACTTCCGTAGATGCGAGAGTCTTCTGGTTAGAGAATCCATCGAGTGACTTTATTGTCAGTCATCCTGTATTCTTTCCATCATCATGGGGAATGGTGAAGGAAACCCAAGGAGGGGTCGCTATGAGTCGGGTCCGGCTTGACAGCAGTGAGTTTCGTTTGTTTTTTTCTTCTCTCTCAAGGGGGCAAGGATACCCTGAGAAGTTGAATCTAGACATGATCAGGAGATCACACGGCACGGGGTCAGTCCACCTTCTGCAGGCAGGGCACACGAGTGGATGCGAACTTGTGTTGGGCCACCATTTCTCTGGGCAGATTATTTTAGATTCTGGCTGATCCCAGACCTCTCAACTGCCTCTCCTTAGCTGTGCCTGTTGTTCTCATTGGGCGGTTCAGTTTCTCCTAGAAGAATCTGCATTCATTTGGAAAGTGGAGTCAGTTTTCATAATTTTTACAGCTAGAAGTCACAGAGTGGTACAAATGATTAACCTCTGGGCTGGTAAATGAGAGGTTGAAGGTTCAAGTCCACCCAGACACACCTCAGACAAAAGACCTGGTTATCTACTTCCAAAATACCAATCAGTGTGAACCCTACGGAGCACCGTTCTACTTTGACACACGTGGGGTAGCCATGAGTTGGACCGAGTCAACAACAACTGTTTTGCTTGCATGCACAGCTATGGCTTAGTTAGAACATCCCGAAAGTGCCAGTATTTTCACCTGTCCAGACTCACACTCGAACACTTAGCTACCAAAACCCAGACTGTGAGTTTTTGGCTTGACGGAGTTTCGGAAAGATAAGAAGAGATAGCTGACAAAACTTGAAATGAACTAGACTTCTTCAGGAAAATCAGAAACCAGGTTCACTATTCTGATGAACATTGATAAGTCCATCCAGACTGGGAATCATTTTCAGGTAACTAGTGAACTAGACTATGGGAGATTTTTTTTCACCAATATGAGTGTTTAGATTTGTTTTTTTTTTTTAGTTTTACTTAAATGAAAGATCTCTTATTTGGAATTTTGTGAAGGTTCTGTACTATATGTCGTTGTTAGGTGCTGTCAAGTCAGTTCCAACTGAAAGCAACCCTATAGGACAGAGTAGAGATGCCCCATAGGGTTTTCTGGTGGGGCAGTGTTTAAGCACTCCACTGATAACTGAATGGCCAGTGGGTTGAACCCACCAGCCACTCCACAGGAGAAAGATGTGGCAGTCTTCTTCCATAAAAATTGCAACCTTGGAAACCCTATGAGGTATTTCTACTCTGTCCCATAGAGTCATTATGAATCAGAATCAACTCAATGCCAATGAGTTGAGGTTTCTTAGTTTAATCTTTGTAGAAGCCAATTGCCAGATCTTTCTCCTGCAGAGCCTCTGGGTGGATTCAAACCACCAAGCTGCCAGTTAGCAGCTGACTGTTCAACCATTTGTGCCTCCAAGGTCCTTTTCTACCCTCTATACAAACAGCAAATTGAGCTCCATTGCTGAAGATCCTGACCCCAGCCTCTGATCTTTGTTTTTCCAAAGAAATGATGTGTGATGGAGCCGGTTGCCTCTTTGTCAAGGGCTGCTTTCTTTATGTCCTTAGGTGAAGAGTGTGACATCGACATAAACGAATGTGACAGTAACCCCTGCCGTCATGCCGGGACCTGTCTGGACCAGCCCAACGGTTACACATGCCACTGCCCACATGGCTGGGTGGGAGCCAACTGCGAAATCCGTGAGTATTTTTGCAGCTCGCCTGCTGTGATTTAACATTAGGTTTTCATTCCATGAGAAAAGGACGCTGCCCATGAGGATCCAGCCCTTGTGCGTCCTATCCCATGGGAGGGAGCGAGGCCCCAGGGGTCACCTGCGATGCCCACGTTTCCTGAGCCCTCACTGAGTATGTGTGCTCACTGCCTTATGCCACTCCCACTGCTCCCTGTGTCCAACCCCAGGCTTTCCACGAGGAGGACCGTTTGCAGATGTCATTCAGAGTTCACTGCCACTGCGACAGCCAAATATGTGCTCAGTGGAGAAGCATTAACATCACATCAGAAATAGAA